CAGTAAAACTCTGACAGGACCAGTTAAGACCATTCCACAATGGACGTTCAGATAACATGCTGATGGATCATTCACTAAGAGAGGCCAAAAAAAGTTTTTGTGTTTCAGGATGTTCACTTTTAAAAGAAATTTAAATACAAGCTATAATCGACATAATAATCATGTCAGAGTCAAATCAAATATTGGGATTACAAAGATAGAGATGGTACACAGTTGGTCGTCAAGGAATTAAAACATTCTTTTTGAGTCAAAAATTACCTAATTTTTTACTTTGACATTTAGTGACATTTGGAGAAACAAATGTTTCCTAGGATGATACAAACAATGTATGCCCAGTACCAGTCTACTAATATAACTCAGATGAGCATAGAATCAAGTAAAATGTCCAAAAATGTAATTTTTACATTTTAATAATGAATAGAGTCTTGGATTAAACTAAGTCAAATCTTGGGGTTGTGCACTATACTGTAGAAGTGAATGAATACAAAATTTCAAACAAATTCAACCAAAAATGTATGATTATAAGAGGCCCTTATCTTTAACTATAGTTAGACATGTTTTATTGATAATATCAATGATAGATGGGATGACAATAAAATATATGAGTACATATATATAGCTTTATTTTGAACAAACAAATATATTGCAGTTAAACTATCAAGGAGAAAAAATATATGAAACCAAATTATGTCAAAAATAACCAAATAAGGAAATGTTTAAATGTTTCCTGTCTAGAATAAGTACTAGTCCCATGACATCATATATCTGTGAACTCTCCAATTTATGTTTAGGCGTTATAAATTGAGATCATTGATAATGTTACAAATGCGATAGTGGCTGAATCAGATAATATAAAAACAATGTCTACGAGTAGTAAAAATAGCCTCAAATGTGTAGAGCACCAACAGATAATGAACAGGCGAAAATAAACACGATTTTTATATATCTGAAAGTGTGGAGGTTGAGTCAAGCCAGATACGCTTTGGTGAGATAAAGCAGAAATGGGGCAATGACTATTTAAAACACCTTTTTTCCTATTGAATCTACTTTGTTGCTTATAAATTTAATGCTGCTACAACTGAAGCATTATTGAACATTTGCTTTCTTATGTTGAAGGGTAATTGGAGAATGTCAGGAAATTCTGATATTTAAATTGAAATTGAAATTGATGTTTCAATTCATTTTCTGAATTGTATTCACAGCAAACCAATTATGGTAAAACTAGGATGTTAAATTGAGCGTCCCATGGCATGTACAAGACTATTACCTCACCTCTCAGATACATGATAATGTTGAAGTTCCCTGTATTCATCAATTGAAAGTTTCCATATGTTTGTGTTAACATTATGGAGTGTAAGGTTAGAAAGTAACATGTCACCAACTGGTCTTAAAGAAACTAATCTTATGATCGGGATCCTACATCGCCATAAACCCAAAGTTAGTGGCAGATAATATATGCTTTTAAATCCCATAATTAAATTGTAATAGAAACTGATATTTCCTAGAATCAAAACAATATGTAGTCTGCTATATGAATTTTAGAGTAATAGACCATAACTTCTCAAAAGTAATACGCATTTTCTCTTTATATTTATGAATTTGAAAATGTACATAATTTATCTTTTTCGGGATTGTTTATTTCTCCTATACATATACATGTACCTATTAATTACCAGCAAACTGTATTTCAAAATCACAAAAAGATTCTGTCAATTTTGGACTTACAAAAAGTCGAGAAAGTTGTATTTGACAGTTACAATCATAGGTTCTCTGCATGTAGTAATTAGAAGACAAATCCTGCGGAGCCATGGGCCTAATTTCTCCCAGCTAGTACTTATATTTTAGTCTGGACTTTTTTCCTATGTGTACATCTGTTTTAAGTCATCTTCAATTACGTCTCCCTGTCACCAATGCTCTTGAAAGTTACTCATTTATAAGTATTTGGTCATGTTAACATTGTATAAAAGTCGCAGAATGTAATGATATGGCGGAAATTGCAAACCGAAATCTTATGATAGAGTATTTAGCAGTTTCTGAAAAACATGCATCTTTGTCAAATATTTTTCTTAAGTCAAATGGCTTTTTATGAGAATCCCACCCATCTTTTAGATATTTTACAGATTACCTTAAAGTTGAAAAGTTTGATTTATGAGAAGTCCTTCAAAACTATAAACTTTTAAAAATACTGATCATGTATTGAAAATCATATGCATAGAAGATTTTTCTAATGACAATTGCCTGCAGGTAGAAACATCCAAAAATACCAAGGGAGGTTTATCATCTCCCACCTTTTTCACACCTTAAAACAAGCATCAACCAATCAAAATTGCTCTTAGACCACATGTGGTACATTCTCTGAGTACTGGAAAATGACATGCTTTCACAAACACATTTTAAACACCATATGTCTGGTTATAAGACACTCCCCTAGAAGAAAATAAAATGTTAATTCTTTTAAAATTGAATGATTTACATTGTTAAATTAGAGGCCTGCAGTTGGTTGATTGTAAAGTTATTATATATGCCAGGTTTCAGCTGTTTATTAAGGAAGGCCTTGTAGAATAACTTTTTAACATTCAAGATTTAGGTTTCAAGTATATATAAAAGTCCAGATGAATTTTCTAACCCATCAACATTTTTTTTAATTATAACTTTCATGTTTTTTATCTTTCTAGAGACATGGTTTCCAGAATTGGAATTTAAGTGGTTTCAAAGAAACAACATCGAGATTATCTATTCTATTCTGCCTACCTTAAGAAAGGTGAAATAACAAGATTTGTTTCTCTGTGATTACTACAAAACAAAATTGATATAATTACAGTCAAATGAACCTGTTGTAGATGAAATATGATTTGATGAAATCTAGAGTCACTGTAATATTTAAAAAATATTCCTTTCCCAAGTCAGAAAATGTCCCAGCAAATGTTGAAGTTAAAGTACACCCTTTAATCTATTTCAATTTCCTTCATTCAGAAAGAATCACAACAAGGAGGGGCCAATGGCTTCACATGATTCCAATATAACAATTCTAGGCAATGAGCAAAGGAAAAATGAAGTGATATTTGTTGCAATGGATGAATGAATGATAAATGGTTTGTACTTAATCACTTAATGAAGCGTTAAAGGTAACAAAACTGTCACTGAAATCTGTGAAAAATTAATAATTTATATATGAAAATAGCGTAAGTGCATTCATATTTCTTACACCAAGCACACATTTTATCACAATATTGTTTTGCTGTATCTCCAAATGTCAACCAGTTTGCAGAACCTAAAATAATATAATACTCCATAGGTGAAAAACAGGGGATAAATCACAGAAAAGTATAATGATTATTCAATATATCACCACTGAAATAGAGAGCGTTGAAATTATAGCTAAATAAATAACAAAAAAATATATTCAATACAATTTTTTCATGCAATAGACCTATAAATTAAAAGTCTCAACAAGATTAAGGCCTTGAATTCACAATTTTTCTAAAATAATCATTGCAAATATGGGGCGAGGGACCAAGATGAGTGATGGATAAAAACTTGAGGGGAAAAAACAACAGGAATGCGCACCATTTAATTAGGTGTTTAGATGTCACCCATACATGTACATACATAAATTATAGAAATAAGTAGACATATTTATTTGATTCAACCTCCTTCCCTCCTCTGGCATTAGCTGGCCTATGTACTCTTCTTATATAGGGAGATTCTTTCAAGATAACTTAATAAATGCAGTGATCTTCTAAGTTTTTTTTGAGTGGAGGATTTTTAGTTCCAAAATCAGTGCAACACTGTAATTTTTAGATTTTGAATTGTTAGATTTTGAACTTTTAAGGGAAACAATTTAGAAATTTTTGAAAGCGTATTGAAGACCAATTGAATAATAGGAGACAAATAAGGGTATAGTTAAAGACACTGCGTCATGGAGATTTCAAGTCGGACAGCCCTGAGAAAAATAGACTGAAAATGAAAAATATGGATTCTACAAAATGAGGTACTAGATCTTTAATCCAATGATCAAACCAGCAGCATCAACTTAGTTGGTACATGTAATTCACTATCAGGGTAGTTCAGATATAATTGCAATAGATACTAGAGACATCTATAAATCAAAACACATTCCAAAAACACAATCAAACAAATGTAGAAAACAGTCAAATCATTTGCAAAAGTATTTGAAATATTAAGAAGAATAGCCATAATAAGGTGCTTTAAGTGCAACTATTTTCACATATGTCACACAAGAGAAATTAAACAGAGCAGAAAAAATGATGTATTTGAGGTAATGAAAAGTACATGTCGAACAAAGGTAGAGGAAACAGAAATCAAAGATACAGGAACAGGTATGCTCTAGCAGTTGGAACAATGTACGGTGGTATTATTTTCTTGTATCAAATAATAAAGCTTGCATCTAGCCCTTGAGTTACCACTCCCCTCCTTATTCTTTCTCAGTCAGAGTCCAGTAGGAATTACACATGTTAGGGGAAGGGGGAGGGTAGACAGAGATGAAATGCAAGATTATTATCCTGAAAACCATGCTATGATCTACAGGGTGTCCCAAAGGTCTACAATACAACACAGAAAAAATGCATTTAATGCTAAAATGCTCAACCAATCAGAAACCTCGTTACATCAATATACTTTCAAAATTGGAACGTAATGATTGGAGTTATTAACATCAAGTGTTTCAATGAAGTAACAAACATTTCAACAAATTATGAAGAAAATTAGTTTTCAAATGAAAATATTCATGAAGTACAGGGTTCCTGCATGACAAAACTTATATGCAAGGAAATTCTTTGACATTCATTGACTATTCAATTATATTTCTGTCTGACAATTCCATGTGAAACCTTACAAGGTGTCCAAGAAGTAAGAAGCACTTGTATATTTATTTCCTGGACACCCTATATTTCAGTTAGCCTGAAGTATATATCAAACAATTTTTTGTTTAAAACTTGTTTCATTATTATGCAACAAAGCACATAAATGTCAAATCTTACCCCATGTCCCTCTTCACATTGCTCCAATGCTTCAGCTGGGTTCCTGTAGATTCTTAACTCCTGTAGTGCCCCCTATAAGTAACAACATAAAACTATATAATAATTAAAAAATAGAACTTTTATACAGGATATTTTTCATTTTTATAAGTTATCAAATTAATGAAGACAACAAAAATTATTTATTTTAATTTCTGTATAATAATATATAGTATAAAATTCATAATATTTCATTATAATTGTGATTGGCTTTGCTGGATGCATTTAACTTTAATTAAGTCATATGGGAGGGGAAAATGCCGGGAAAATGCCGAGAAAATGTCACCCATGGGAGCCACTGATTCATGTGTACTAGCCTGAATAAGAAAGCTGACATACCTGGTATTTCCCTCCTAAGATATCCCCACCCTGCGCAATAAATAATGTAGATCCGGGTTCAAACTCCAACGTTCCTCGTTGCCGTGGAAATGTTACAGAGCCATATTCGTCACAATTAAAGAACATAGTAACTATATCATCCTGGACTGAAAAGGCTATCCGAGTCCACTCCCCAACAAATTTTGGCACTGAGAATTTGGCTGCTTCGTTGGTCTTATCGGATGTCCGGAAGTCCGTATAATATAATGTTATTGTTTGTTTATCATTATGAGCACTAGATATATGTATTCCTAACTGTATTAAATTTTCTAGCGGATTCACAACTCCAAATATATACCCGCCTTGGAAAGTATGAAATTGATTTGGTTTTATAGTTAATAATATTGAGAAGTCTGTATATAAGCGCTCCATATAGAGTGCTGCAGGTTTTCTGATGTCAGCACGCTGGCTGATCTGGAAGGCGGGGTAGCCATCAAAGCCACTGACAAATGTGATAGAGTCATCTAAGGGGATCCCAATGGCCTGGATCAGATCTAGTTCTTGAGGCACTGCAAGTAGAAACACAAGAATCTTTATTTTGGGAATATTGTAGGATAGTATAATATCATAGTAACCATACTGTATGTTAAGATATGCTGTGATATGGTATGGTATGGTATGGTATGGTATTGTTCAGTACTATGTGGCAGATTAACATACAAGACAACAGTAACGCCAAAGCGTAGCAAATCCCATTGAACAGCCATGGCTGGTATTTTTACAAAGTATATAGCAAACATGGTGGCCATTTTTCAAAATGGCCGCCTTCCATCAAAAGTGTCATTAGACAGTGTGCCATTGTTCTAGATGGCTGCTATGTGCTTCTTAAATATCTACATTTTTTAGCTTTATTAAATTCTATATAATTTTTTTACATTTAAAATATATTGCTATTACAGTTTTAAATATTGCACCTAAATTACTGTAAAATCGGCACTAAAATGGCCACCATTTTTAAATGAGCGGCCATTTTGAAAAAACTGACCCGATCCCTTGGTCGTACATGTAGTAGTATGATTTATGGTCATTTCCACTTAATTTTGACGTTGTAATGTTTCCAACATTCATTGAGGTTTAAAAAGACCTTCAAAAGGCTAATAAAGATTTCACTTAAACCTCATTAAAAGGCAATATAGACGATAAGTAAATCATTTTCGTATCATTTTTTGCTTATGGTCGTAAAAGTATTATACTTCTTTAAAGAGGTGAGGAGGATATACTGTACAAGACCAACTTAGAGCCAACATAATGTATTGGTAACACCTTGTTCTGCTGGAAGTGCATGATTCATGATATTTACAAGGCCAAAACTAGGGATCGAAGAAAAACCAAAGTGAATTTCGCATCAACTGATAATACCAACATGCAACATAAAAATTGGACTGTGTCATTTTAAATTGAACAAAAGCAAAATCAAACTATTGGAAAGAGATCTGATAATTTCAACATCAAAAATGGTTTGTCATTTTGAATGTTAATCTCATTGAGATTCGCAAATGTGATTCGCAACATCTACTGATACTAATCATGATATTTTGGCCAAATTTTAATGATATTGGAACTGGTAGATAAAGATGATACCACTCAAAATCATGCAAACACATACTTGACCCACAAAAACAGTTATAAAAATACAATCTGAAATAACCTTGTTATACAAAAAACATTAAAACCAACACATGAAATGCTTAAGTAGATATTTCCTCTGAAACCACAAATCTTGTTTTGGATAATTACGCACAACAATAAATACATGAGCAATTAACAGAAAGTCGAGCCAACAATTCCGGAAAAACTATGTCACCTAACCCAGAAGTAAACTTTCTACTGTTTATTTGATAATATTGAATTTTCATAAACAATTCTTGTCAACAACTGTGACACAGAATAAGGTGATTATGGCGTGATTTAAGTTCCACGAAAACAATCACAGTCATTCTTAATTTGTTGTAATAATTTCTACCCTGTTAATTCAATGACCGTCCTCTGATTGACATCATGACAGGATGCGCTAAAAGTTGAGTAAAGTTGACACAGTCTAGACTGATTATGACAATTTTAAACTTTTCTAAAGTGTAATCTGATTTTTGATTTATTTGATTTGAGAATGTTTATAAATCTTCGTTATTGGTTTATCAAAAATCACCTGCATGAGAGGATGTTAATATTTTCTTGTTGGTTTTGATTATTTGATTTCTGTCTATATAGCCGCAAGCAAAGGTCTCAAATAAAGTAAGATTGTGATGCTCGTGAGAATGCCTCAGTTAAAAACAATTTGTCAAAGTGACATACAATTTGGTCAAGAGTTCATATGGTTGAGTCAAAAACGATGATGTATATGTTGTCACGTTATTTAGCAACCAAATTCCATGACTTTTTATGAGGAGAGAACTACATTGTACAGTACAAAAAGTATGAATATGTTAGAAAAATGGATGTTTGAAGAATTTTGTCAATTGTATCTAAAATGTCGCATTTAGCAAAACCTATTTTCAATATTAATGACAAAAAATCTGTATACAAATTAGTGTGTAGACAACAGATGAGTTCATATCTAATAAAAACTTGAATTAATGTAATTTCAATATCAGTTACAAAATGTTGGTATATTCTTGGCAACCTCCAATAAATAATAAATTCCCAGAAGAAAAAAAATGATCCAGAGAGCCAAAAGTCTATAATATAATACATGTAGACTACAAACATTAAATATTGACCCTTATACACTAGCACCCTCTATAGATTATAGCAGCAACTAAATATATTCATGATAAAAACTAATTTTTGAAAACTTGCCTTGGAAATAAAACTCATGAGTCGAGAGCATTAAAAGTTAACATTTAAATTGATTAACTAGGATGAGAGACAATTCATTATATTTTTCATTAAAAAATTGAGTTGATTTCTATTTTACCATGAACTTGTACCACCTTCTTCTTTGGAAGAAGGAAGGAACTTAGTGGATGATGTCCGGAACCCTGCGTTCTGAGGATGACGATTCAATACCATGATCAATTCTATAAGTATTTAAGACGATAGTTCAAAGTCACTTATTTTCTTTTCATCAATATTCTCAAAAATCAATTATAGTATTATATTTATACCACAAACCACACCAGATACCTGACTGGCTGGCTGTTTTCACTTCCTGCTAACCGACCACATTATTGTCCATTTCACCAACATGTAAAAACAAAATCACAAAAATCAGGTTATCTCCACTAGATCATCATGACATTTGTGAATTTTTTATGACAGATCATACAAGATTTATGTTCTCCTTATCTAAATTTAGTGACAGAAAGTTTATGAGACATATGGCGATTTGAAAGATTAACATAGCAATGTCCAAGAATCCAAGTGAGATTTATGCATTCAGTCAGTGAAGATGACGTTAGGTTTACTTTAGTAATCTTTCCAAGTATCAACCGGTCTGAGATATTTCCTTGAAAGATTTAAGAATTTCCTGGTCTCTCATGAAGTTATTCTCAAGTCATCTTCCATTTTCTATAAAAATACAGATTAGCAAATATAAAAAATCTTAGAGCAGTATGTAAAAAACCACTGGCTACTAAATGGCTGCACTAAGAATGCAATGATTTAGGTAGCCCAATACCAGCTAGAACATGGTATAAGAACCAGAACCTCAGTATTTTTACAAAGCATGTTGAGCAAGAATGTTTTTGTACTTGAGAACCTAAGCAACTAATACAGCTAAATCAAATCTCTTGGATTCTCAGGTGTAGAGTATGATTCGTGCAACTTCTGGAGGTCTGGCTTGTTTCATCGTGAATATACCCTGCTGGTATAAACCTCTATAGAAATCACCTCATACGTTCTAAATAATATCAGACCATGGTTAATCAGGAACCGGAAACAGTTTATAATCCCAAGGTACCTTTGGTAAGTGAGTACCATTATGTCAGGATACCTTAATCATGGTTACAATGATATCACAGTACCAAAATGTGTACCAAAGATGTGATTTATCACGACGTACAAGATGATGGAACATGCATGTTTGATTGAATAACCAAGTTTTTTAACAATATGTTATGCTTGATTGATTTTCTCTAGAACAAGATATCTTGCTTGAATTGTTAAGCTCTAGAGCAGAGTTCTCAATCTGTTTTTGCTCTTGAACAGGCTGTTAAAGTGAATGATCTTGCGGTATATAACAGAATGTCTTGCTTGACAAATCTTGCTCTAAATAATACAGAATGTTTTTCTTTTTAACCCTTTCAAATCTACAATATCATACAGTGAGACCCACCTCACCAATTTGACTATATACAGTTTTGACAGACAAATGGTCTAGTAATGGCCACCACCACAGAGCAGGCCAATGCAACCTGAAATAAATAGCCAAATTACAAGCAGTAACTTTTCTTCAACACACCATTTGGTGTAAAACCATGAAACAGTTAGTTGAAATATCATAGCTGGTTCTGTATGAGGGGTGTCCCCATAATTGCCTAAACTACTAAAACTGGTGAGTTAAAGCCAAGTATAATATGGATAAACTACCTCTCCTCTGTGAGTCAACATGATTAGAATAACCATTAATTATTTTAATTGCTTTTTGGTTCTCATTTGCTTCATATTTGACAATTTTAAAGAAGTATGCACAGATGAAATTGTGAGCTTTAGGAATGCCATGAAATATGGATGTCTGGTTTTGCTCACATACCAAAATCTAAAATTCAGCAGATAAGGCATTTGGAATAATATCATAATTCTCAATAAGTTGAATTCAATCATTTTCATAAACAGAAAAAGATCCTCATATACATTTGGTTTTGAATTGACCCTCCTAATCTAATAGTCGCTCAATCATAGGTGTGGGTTTGCATTATATTGAATGGAGGGAGAGTTGGATATACATGGTATAAGGTAACAACTCATTAATAATGATAGTCTTGCATCAAGCCCCTATCATCCATCACCTATTCTAAAAATGGCACCATTCGTAGGCTTAAATGGCGATCCCTTATACTCATTTTTAAATGTGATGTTTTGAAAACAAAAAAGGCTGATTTCTCCAAAACAAAATTAAAAATCTCAAAATCCCTCAAACAGTTTGGACACCCACCCTTCAGCCACCAGCTGTCCATACCAAACCCATCATAATATACCACCAAATAAAAATTGTGCACCAAGTCAGAAGCATGACAATTTCCTAATTGAATTTTACTACTCTCACCTATTTAAATGTTTAATTATTTGTCACTTTCAACATTTCCAAGCTTCAAGGTTCAAACCAAAGGCTGTTGATGGTGTGAGTTACATATCATTATATCTTAAAATTCAAAATATTTTTTGGTAATATAGTTTGATGAATTTCAAAATATCAAAATTAAAATGATAAAAGTATATTACACTTATGTGAGCAAGTAATATAAGGAATGGAGACTGTATAAACAGAGGTACACTGACAAACAGGACATAGAGAAACACAATGCTCTTGTAATTGCATTGATGTTATTAATACTTTTTTTTTTTAACATATTATTTATTTCCTTCATAATCAAAAAATACACAAAATATCTACTACCAATCGCCATAGGCATTCTAGGTAGTTTAAATTACAATAGAGGATTAATTACAGTAATCATAGATGGTTTATTGGTAATGTGAGAGTTTGGGAGGGAGGGGGGGGGGTTGTCACAAGATACAAATGAGAAAAACATTAATTTGATGGAAACTTATAACAGGCCTGTACAAATTGCATCACTATATCTATCAGGATTTTCTGAGAATCAATAGTGAGTTCATTTTCATAAATTAAGTATTTGACCTGTTCTGTATTACTAGAAATAAGTTGAGTATCAAACAATAAATTTTGTTCACGAAGTGCAGTCATCATTTTATTACGTTCATGGGTATGGCGAGGGCAGGTTAGAATGAAATGCTTTGTGTCTTCAGTAGAGCCGCAGAGGCATTTGTTGTCAATTATTCCAGTAAAATTATGAGTAAAGAAATGGTCTTTAAGGGCAAAATCAACTCGAAGCCTATTTAGCAGTTTTTCGTTGGTTCTACTTAAATTTAGTTTTGTAGTTGGTATAAAGTTTGAAATAGGGATAAATATCTGTTTAATAGAGCTTTTGAATCTAGAAATGGTTTGAATTTCACGAAATTAATACTCAGACATTAACATAGTAATAGAAACTGTTCATTTCAAGGAAAACATTCAACAAGCTGCTATAATTTATCATTTACCTAAAATCAAATTAATAATGTATAAAAAATTCTAAAATATTCTTTTTCATGACATAGGGATTGATCAACAGATGCCATTTTTACATTCTCTGAAATACCCTCAAAGCAAATATACATGTTTGAAAAATGTTAGTAGGTGTAATACAGAAATAACATGGCTTATTAAGGTGCTATGGAAGTTAACAGGAAATGACAAAACAGGAAGTGACAATTTTTTTTGCATTTTTAGATATTTTTTGAATAAAGATAACACAGTTCTGGTTTGACCTCCAGTCAATTTAAATATTTCCACATATCATTTACATGACCAGGATCACAATGTGCATGGTCAGAATGACCCTAAACATGATGAAATAACCTTTTTAGCCCTTTGAAAGTGTGACTGAAAAAAAGCTATAAGTAGGAGCGTAGGGAAGGTCACTGAACAGAATCTTTTGAAATTTTCAGAAAATGTGCCCAATATATTGCTCTAAATGATACAATCTTTGAAAATTTGATATCATTCATAGAAAAAGAAAAAAAAATGAAATAACTGATTTGAAAAGTGATCTATTTTCCTTTTTATGACCGCCATTTTTGTTTAAGACAATTTTCTAAAATTTCAAAGATTGTACTAGTTAGAGCATTATATTGGGCACATTTTCTGAAAAATTCAAAAGATTCTGTTCAGTGACTATCCCTACGCTCCTACTTTTAGCTTTTTTTTCAGTCACACTTTCAAAGGGCTAAAAAGGATATTTCATCATGTTTAGGGTCATTCTGACCATGCACATTGTGATCCTGGTCATGTAAATGATATGTGGAAATAGTTAAATTGACTGGAGGTCAAACCAGAACTCTGTTATCTTTATTCAAAAAATATCTAAAAATGCAAAAAAAATTGTCACTTCCTGTTTTGTCATTTCCTGTTAACTTCCATAGCACCTTAAATGGCATCAACATCCTGATCTAATTATGCATACATGGGTGGAACATATATAGAACAAGGTAGTGGCATGCAAAATGTCACCACCATTTGTTACAGACGCCAAAAAAACGATTGACAACTAGTTGATCACCAAACACTGTCACAAAAAACTGACACCATTACAATATGTCACCAATTTTTGGTGGTGACATAAAAATTCTAATGTTGATTTCCCTTCATGTTACATATACTGTACATATATACTGCAAATTTCAATGTTTCAATGTTTGTGTCATTTCCAGCATTTCGATTGATTTGCCTTTGAATATAAAATTACATTTCACTGTATGCACCTGCTTCACTGTTTCAAGCATTTCAATCACATGACCAATTCAGGAAGAAATGGGCAAAATGATTGAAAAGAAAAATGAACATGATAGTTTCTCGTTTCAAGCATTTCACCTAGGCTTTTTAACCTGTCAATCACTTCAACCAGTCAGGTCATTTCGCCTACCAGCGGCCAGTGTATACACTCCTTTACATTCACAAAAATGGAAATAATTTTACAACACAGGTGAGCATGTCTTGTTTGCTACTAAAATTAAAATAAAAAATACCGTTTTAGTTCTTGGTATTTGTCAAGTATACAGCTGTACAAAGCCACAATTTCATCATATTGTATATATTTATAGCATCAATTGCTTACTTGAATATTCTGTTATTTATTCAGATAGTGGTGGGATTAACAGTACATCCTGGTGATTCGATATCATCGCAGTCAAGAATATAACATCAACTAGCAGCACAAAGGAAAAGATGTTTCATTATTGTAAGTGTCACTTTTATATGTTACTTGCAATTTTTAGTATTTACACCCTATGCAGACAGAGCCTGTGGGAAATATTGGGTGCGGAGCAAATGAGCGGAGGGTGCGGAGCTAACGGTCATTTTTGAATTTAAATTTGGGATATTTCTGAAACTAAGCCGTTTTGGGACTTCAAATATACCAAGATATGTGTATTTGACACCAAATATCAATACAATTGTGAAAATAGTAGCACAATTCATTCTATAGCGACGCAGTGTGCCTTAAACCTTTCCCAGACCTATATATTTTGAAATTATCCTTTTAATACTGAGTCCCCGGCATTCATGAAAAATGGTGTTCAAGGTACACTATCTATACAAATTATTTTCCATCTTGGAAGCCAGGCAGTATCTGTGTGATTTTATAAAAATTCGGAAATGTTTTTCAGATATGAGCCCCTCTAAATATTGGGTGCGGAGGAGCTCCATAAACGTACCTCCGCACCCAATATTTAGAGGGGGCTCATATCTGAAGAACATTTCTGAATTTTTATAAAATCACACAGATACTGCCTGGCTTCCAAGATGCAAAAATAATTTGCACGGGTAGTGTATCTTGAACACCATTTTTTATGAATGCTGGGGACGCAGTATTAAAAGGATAGTCTCAAAATATATAGGTCTGGGAAATGTTTAAGACATAATGCGTCGCTATAAAATGAATTGCACTACTATTTTCACAATTTTATTGATATTTGGTGTCAAATACACATATCTTGGTATATTTGAAGTCCCAAAACGGCTTAGTTTCAGAAATATCCCAATTTTAAATTCAAAAATGACCGTTAGCTCCGCACCCTCCGCTCATTTGCGCCGCACCCAATATTTCCCACAGGCTCTGTCTGCATAGGGTGATTTAGTAGACGACAAAACCTAAAATTCAAAACATATTTTAGGTAATCAGGAGATGATGTTGGTTTCAGGTTATACATGAATGATTCTGCCACAGAAATCCTTGAGCTGATCCATATCAATACCCTGAGCACAAAGTTTGATTCTAAAGTAACCTATGAATAGTTCAGACAATTTCACAGTTCTACAGCCCTGACTCCAGTTAGCCGTCACAGCCCGGATTATAAACTGACATCACAGTCCAGATCATAAATCAATTTTAAAGGCAATAATAAAAATATTCTTATTCATATAAGGCACCTAACAAGGCAGTGTAAAAAATACTATAATCAAGTATGGAATGAATCCATTTTACTATATAAGACTAAAGACTTACAAAAATACTGAAATGTGGCGAGGATTCTTAACATTCTTCTTTCTGTGCTCAATAGAGGTCTCTGAATCTGAGATATCCTCCACACATGTGCCTTCAATGCCCAATCGTACCTTGACAACACAGGATGGTCACTTAACCTGGGTACCAACAAGCAACGGAAGTGTGATAATGTTGGCCAAAAATGTTCAAACAGATACTACCAAGTCCGTTACTTTCTTGCCACTAATCACCTTCAACAATAGCCACACAAGATATAAAGTGACAAAGAACTATTATAGTACAATGGTAAATATCAAAACACAAAGTAGAGGACACAACTTTGATGATGTGACATTAAGCTCAAATGGTGTGCCAACAAGAAATGGAAATACAACAATGAATACGGTGACACAAAGTACAACACATAATACTAGTGATCTAACACGAAGCTCAAATGCTGTGCCAACAAGAAATGGAAATACAACAATGAATACGGTGACACAAAGTACAACACATAATACTAGTGATCTAACATTTAGCTCAAATGCTGTGCCAACAAGAAATGGAAATACAACAATGAATACGGTGACACAAAGTACAACACATAATACTAGTGATCTAACACAAAGCTCAAATGGTGTGACATCAAGAAATAGAAATACAACAATGAATACGGTGACACAAAGTACAACACATAATACTAGTGATCTAACATTTAGCTCAAATGCTGTGCCAACAAGAAATGGAAATACAACAATGAATACGGTGACACAAAGTACAACACATAATACTAGTGATCTAACACAAAGCTCAAATGGTGTGACATCAAGAAATAGAAATACAACAATGAATACGGTGACACAAAGTACAACACATAATACTAGTGATCTAACACAAAGCTCAAATGGTGTGACATCAAGAAATAGAAATACAACAACAATAGATAATGTAAAATATAACAATGGTACAATTAGAAATATGGCAACATCGTACAACAGGAGTACAACTGAATATATGGTAACATACAGCAGGAGTACAACTGAATATATGGTAACATACAACAGGAGTACAACTGAATATATGGTAACATATAACAGGAGTACAACTGAATATACTGTCACGCAAAGTTCAACAGTAAGGAGTTCAAAAGGTGGTGGTGTGATGAAGAAAAGACGGTTCCCATACCCACGTATCAAATTCCCATTGCGAGGATTCTCTAATTTGAATACATGTATCAAACTGAACAGGCTCACTGCTCATTGTTGGTGGCCATATAGGGTATGGCCATTTAAAAGCACCCCATTGAAAAAATGCATTGGGATAGGATCTCATTCTGTTGCATGTGATGTAACCGCAAACAACAGTAATGGGGTAACTACAGTGAAAACTGTCATAGTTGCACCTCAAGTAATGTTCAAGCCATTCAAAAACACAACATGTACATATCTAAATAATGCAACCGTTCATTGCACAAAAAGAAAGAAATCCAAATATAAGACATCACTAAACATACCTAGCTACTGGCCATTTGATTTTCCAAGACCTCACTCATGTAAATTACTCAATAACTACACTTTGACATGTCATGCACCCATCACAACTTACTTCAACAACTGGCCATTTCCATTTCCCGTACCAACTTTCTGCATGGATTTAAACCATGAAACAAAGTTTTGTCCTATTCACTTAAACTCAACAGTGAAAACGGTATTGTTGGATTGGGAGTTCCCATTTCCTTATTCTCTCCCTTGTATTCTAATGAACAACAATACATATTACTGCAAGGGTATGTCAAGGGGAAAGCTTACAATTGTCTCATTTAAGTGGCCATTCAGCTTTCAAGCCTCGTTATGCACACTTCAGAATCTCCATAAACATTATTTCTGTTGTCCTCCATTCAACAAAAACCTTAATATGTTTAATCTATTGCCTAAGAAAGGCACAGAGGTAACATTTGTTATAGAATTCTGGGTGTCTCTGTTTGTATGTATTATTGGCCTCATGGGTAGCATTCTTTCCTTCATGGTTCTAAAAATGCGTAAGAACAACTCGAGCGTAGTGTACCTGAAGGCGCTGGCAATTAATGATGGTCTCTCATGCATCTGGTACCTCATATTTGATGCATATCTGATTGTTTACAATTATAGCTCATGGATAACTAATCGTGAGAGTAATTCCATACATCAAATCCCACAAGTTGCTTCAACCTGGTTATTTCCTATACGGTCATCCCTAATTGCTATATCCATCTGGTTGGTTGTCTTTTTGTCATGTGATAGATACCAAATTGTGGCCAGCCCTCTAAAGGCTAAAAGGTGTTGCACTGTACGTAATGCAATGATTAAAACACTTGTTATCGTTGTCACATGCTTCTTGTGCCATATTCCACAACTGTTTTCTGGAAGAGCTGTCCCATCTGTCAACAGTTGCACCAATGATATGTGGATAAAACATGAATTCACAGATATGGGTAACTCAGATGCCTTTCAGATTGGGTACATGATAGTTTTTCAGGGGCTCATGAGAGGTTTTATCCCATTCGTGATAGTTGCAATAATGAATGGGCGAATCATCATGAAAGTTCGGCAAGCGACAAAACGTCGTTTAGACTTGTCAAATACAGATCCTGACAGAAAAAGTACAGATGACAAACTGATGAGACTCCTCGTAGCAATAGCAATCTTGTTTCTCATTTTGATTTTACCATGGCTTGGCTATATAACATACTCAGCCATATTTATTATATTTAAGAATGATGGAAGGCTATTCACCATCTTTCCATTCTTAAAACAAGGAAGGATACCTATAACAATAACAAATGTCCCTGCAGTCACAAATTCTTCATATTATTTAGCTGCTACAGCAATGCTTTGTATTCGTCTTAATGGAGCGCTAAATTTTTTCGTCTATATATTAGTAAGCAGTGAATTTCAAATGAACTTCAAGAAATTGGTGTCTTGTTCTAAGGGAACAATGCGGCATCATCAAAACCGTTTTGAGATGACAGCAACTACGAGTGTAAGGAGGTTTCACAAGACAGCATCAAAGTTCAAGAAACCTGTCTCTTTAGCAAGTAGAAATGACATTGTGACAACCAAGGTCTAACTCTAGATATCCTGAGCCATACCCTAAGATTCAAAAGAATTGTAAATGGAATTGATAAAAGTCTCTAAACCATTTTACTCCCTAGGATTTTTTTCTCAGTTTGGTAAAATTCTTGTGTGCAAATATTTGTTGCTCGCTTTGCTCATATCAAAAAAGTGGTATTTGCATCGTCTGTAATATTTCTTCTGAAAAATGGCAGTAATTTTGAATTTAAGAAAACTCGTTCTTAAAGAGAGTCCTTTGCTAGGAAGTCATCAGCACATAATATGACAACTGGTATTTGAGTTATCAAAAGTTATAAATTTTTGGAAAAGTGGTAGCCATTTTGAAAAGAGCAGCTGTACTAAAACTTCCTTCATGAACAGAGGTTACATTCTCATAGAACATTACCCTATTAAAGACCAAATCTAATAACTGTATTTAAGAAATCAAAATACTAATAAAATAAAATTTATCATATATCTGTCAACTGGAATTTCAGTTATTGCTGATTATTACAAGTATAGACAACTATAAATTCTTTGACAGAGGATCTGTACCCATGCATAAGGCATCAGTCTATTCAATATGAAATTGTCATAAAAGTGTTAGAAATAAATAAATAAAATAAATAAATAAAAAATGTATTGTAATTCAGAGAATAAATGTATAATTATGTAAAAATGTAAAATTAAAAAAGGGTATAATATCCTTGAGAGGAAGAAATGATAATGTGAGTTGAAGGGCTTAATGCAAGATTACAATATTTCTTAAAATTGGGGGAATTTGTGGCTTGATGCAGTAATAAGTTTCAATTTTTCAAACCTGCCGGCATGCCTGAATCAAGTAAACAGTATGAAGTTGGTGTAAAAATAACAACACCATGTCTGTGTGAAGCAGCCCTTCATGTTTCATTTGGATGAAGACCCATCTTCTATCTGTCATCACTGGCGAGAGAACATCTTGATGAACCTTCTAACTTTTCTGTTTGGCCACGTTCAGATTTCACACAAATTCTCTAAAGTTTGAATGAAATACTGAGTTTGCATTTTTAGGTTTTGGATTGTTGCATACAATAGTCTAAAGACTATTTCTCCTTTTCCTGTTAATTCCATACATTTTTAGTCTATTGTTAGGACTGCTAACTCAAGATATTTCTCTCAAGGGAATTCTGAGCATTTTCAGACACAGGCTCTCACAAAATATTCTAACTTATCTTTGGTAAGTCCCCCAATTTCAGCTATAAAGAATATAGTAGTTTTGCATCAAGCCTTTGATGCATCATCTATATCCCTCCCTCACTTTTGGAGAAGGTATATATGTCAAGGAGGATGTTATGTTATGCAAGAAATATACTTATCGCTTCATAATGCCTTAATAAATAAAATATGCAGAACACTCATTTTGGAATATTTTGCAGATTGGACATAATATGATTTTTGAAAATGTTTTTAATGATACAGAATTCTAGCATCACAAATTATTTTTCCCAGAAGATGTTATTCTTCGTTTTTCCAAGTTGCTTCTCCAATAATTTGATTACCATTATTAGTCCATTACCAAGTTAGTCTTGCATAGAGTCAGGTCAATTAAGACACCAGACATTATACAAGACTACAATGTATATTACATAAGTACTATAGAAAGTCTTGCTCCCAACAAGAATGTTTGCCAGGATCATAAACTAGCAGTGATATACCTTGGACAAGATACCCTATCAGAGACATGACACCGCAGTCATGTTTAAAATTGAAAATAGAGCAGAATAATTGGATTCTGCGAGAGATAACAAACAGAGACATGTGCTCAATACTTCAAGTAATAGAGAAATGCAAGCAAACCAGATATCTAATTCAGCAGTAGGGAGAAACAGAGGGAAATTGGCATGAACATGGAGATATTTCCTATATGGGATCCCAATGTTTTTCACAGTTGTAAGTCTATGTCCAGAATGGAGAGCTGTTAGCAATCATGTTCCTCTGATTCTTACAGCTTCTTTAATGTAAATATTGACCTTTGAAGTCCAGAAAGTCGTAAGCCCCTCTGGTTTGACTCTGGAAAGACTATAAACTTTACAACTAAAATTCATCACTTTAAACAACTGTTTTATATCATGCAGGTGCATGTTTTATTCAGAATTACTGAATTATAATAAAGAATCATATTGCGATTCATTATTATTAAATTACACGTCTATTTCGTTAAGTCCTTCTTTTCTCATAGAAATATACATCGTCGTTTATATAACCAACAAAAAGCAAAAACATAAATGAGTTGTCTGATTCTTCCCCACATGAAAAATGCCTATTAATTCAATTGTTACATTAACCTGTTAACGACCTCATTGAACGCTTAATGCACCAGTTTCATGCTGCCCAGATCAAAATTCTTGTGGCTAGCCGGCTTGTTTTTTTAGCTAACCATTGAGTGTGATGTCGGGATGACATACAAGGAACTTACCTCTGTGATAGATCTACTGATGATAGACATCTACTGCTAGAGTCTAAACAGATTGCAAATGTTACTAGAAAGGATATTTGCAATATGTCGTGATTTCCTCAACTGAGTTTAGAATTTTAAGTTTAGCCACTCTGACTAAGAAATAACCAAAAACGACAAAATTAAATTTCTTGTCATATGGCACAATCTCAGGGGTGCAAATAGATTTTGAATAGGGTGCAATGGTCAATGGGGTGCATGCACCACCTAGATTCTTCATGATGGGAAGATCACTGATATGGTTCATCCCAGTATATTCCAGGATTAAGTATATTCCAGGATTTAGTATATTCTAAGATTTAGTATATTTCAGGATTACAATGTTACAGAAAGAAGCCAGTTGGTTGTGATATATTCATAGAGGATGTAATTATCTACTAAACACATAGCAAAACATCCTAAGTGCTAATAAAAACAATTCATAAGATTTACACTAACAAGAATTCTTATGATATATCATAAGCCCGACTCAATTGATAATTCTCTACCTATATTTTGAAATATGAACAGTTCCAGATGTACTTTAAAGGCATCATCCAGTTAAAGTCATGTAACCACACTCTTCTTGACTTTCCTACATTTCGTGATCAAGTACTTGAAGTGAAAACCCAACCTGCCATGGAATTTTCGAATTGTGTCTGCAAAACTTAATCCAGTTAATCCAGTCAATGTAAATTCCAAGAATACACATGTCCAGTAACCATGGCAATTTTTTTTCTTGATAAGTGTAAGAAGAATGCTGGATACCAGTCACAAAAGAGTAGTACCATTCGGTGGTCTTACATGATGGATTCTTTATACCGATTCCTTCATTTACAAGTTACCAACAATTAGGCAAGAAGTATTCAATTAAAACTTTTATCAACTTCCATTATTTTTGTGATATTTTTATGGTCATTTTTGAAAAAATTGGTCAATTTATAAAGAACATGAAAGAGCCTGTCTTGTACTGTGTTAACATTTTTGTATAAATGAATTGTTTATGATTTTTTGGTGTTTCCCTTTATAAATAGCCCATAGATAGAATTTCACAGAGGCTCAAAATATATGAATACAGTAAAACCTACCAGTGATCAAGATTTAGATTGCAACATGTGTAAAACATTCAGTGGAAACACCTCTCATTAAAAAAATCACATTTAAATAATTTACCCATATGTCCAGACTACACCAGACACCTCCAAAGTAAAACAAGCCTTAACCTATAACTCATTCAATATAAAATGAACCACTAAAAATGGAATGCCTCCCAAGTGGAAAACTACTACAGATACCAAAGGTGTTCCTTTTATACAGGTTTCACTGTATGCTAAAAATCTGCAAAGTACTTTACATATCTAAAGATAGAATAAAAAGATCTTGTTCACAAACACAAACATTTTGATTACCCTGTTGATCAAAGTCAACACCAACAACAAGTCACAAAGAACAAGATCATTTGTCAGGTCTTCTACAGTTCTACATTTCCTTCATTCTTCAAGCAAGCCCTTCCAGCCAGCTAATTACTCTAAACTTATAGCTTTGTTTGTTATTGGGGTCATTTGAGGAGTAAATGGGAATAGTTCAACAGTGTTAAGCTTACTTTGGTGCCATAATTTATATAAGAATCGCTATATTTTGTTTCACATGGTACAACACTACACTTACCATTTGCATTAACCTTCAAAATATAACTTTGCAGCACATAACACTTGTAAGGATGACTGAAATAAGTCATGAAAGAAACCAAATAAATAAATGTATTGAATGTAGCGCTATTTCTTTTAATTATAACACAAATTATTTAATTTCTGTCAGAGATTAGAAAATAGCCAGTTTACTAATAAACAGCTAGGAATTGTAAAGAGGTACTAATGCAAATATATATGTACCAAAATTCTGTCATGATATATAGATGGAGGAAATGACCAATTACATTAGATCGAGGCCATTAGTTTCAATGAACCATCAGTTTCAGGTGAGTTCTACCAAAAAATACAAAGCAGCAAAAAACGTCCTACTAACTATAAAAATGATTCAGGTGAAGCTCTCTTTTAAGAAGCCAGAAATAGATTATTATGAAGCCCAGAGCTTCATGGATGAAAGCATTAACTTATCCTACTGCAATTCTGATTGGGTAGTTGACTTTTGATTCACCCAATCTGATTGGTTAAGACTAAATCAAGGAATTATGTCTTTTTTAAACTGTGTAGATGAACCTTTTTATTTAATGCTCGGAGCGAGATCTATTTCAAATAGTACGCTCCTCCAAGTACTAACAAGTACTAAAAGAGCAGAAACCACTGATGATTGCCCTGGGTATAGTAAGCTATGAAAACTTGGGAAATTATGGCCAATGAGGAATTCTGAATAGGAAATCGTAAACTAATTGCCAGCAGTTGTTCTTGTCTAGACTCAGACCAAAAACAATTTCTCCTCAGACTCTTCATTCACACCTTTCCAGATTTTTATGTTCAAAGCTGAAATGCATTAGAGTAAGATTCGACTGTTTCCCGTCTAACTACTGGAAGTATGTGGCTATGTGCCTACCTGATAACAGAACAGATCTTTTATTCTATTTCATTTACAAAAATGGCCAGATTATGAAACACATGAACATGTTTGAATTCTTTTATCAAAATCAGAATAGGCCACACATTATTTTGAATGGCATCCAAGCATACTATAATCAACTTCTGGAAATGTGACATGACGTCATATTGCCATGAAAATATTCACAAATAGAAACGTTTTATAGTTGTAGGATAAAAATGTGATAGAACAGAAGTCATGGTGAGTTTATGCATGTATTTTAAGTGCATATAAAAATGTGTTCCTCTTTTAACATATACAACTGGTATACTTCGACCCTTCTCCCCTTTTAAACACCTTTTTTTTAAAATGGCCCTTCATAAAATATGGGCCTTTATAAAAAATAACCTCAA